TAACCGAGTTTCCGTCCTGATCCGTTCAGAACGCGGCTTGTGTAGCTTCATGGGATGACCGCGAAGACAAGGCAACCTAGCCGGGCTAAATAGCCAGCTCAAGTCCGGTACAACCTTCCCTGTTAAAATGCGGTAAGTAAGGATTAGGTCTCCTGGAAGCCTTGGGTAGTGCATTGAATACATACCCAAGCTAAGTAGACGCTCGGGGTACGATTGCCCCCGTAACCCCTCGACCAATTTGGTACCTACTCTCAAAAACCTCTCAAGCTCCATTATGTCCAGAACAAGGCAGGGCGTGCAAGCCTGGACGCAGTATTCCAGATGGGGCCGGAAGAAAGATGGGAACAGCTTCAAAAATATGTCGGCAGTTAAGACCCCGAAAGAACGGCGTATTAACCACAACATTCTGAAACCCCTACTAGCGGCCTTCTTCCAGTTGTCACCAGAATGCAAAGACGTGGAATGAACGACACCTACGTCTACCTGGTTGGAGACAAGGGGGAGTTCGACCCCACCGAGTACGTAGCTCGAAGGCGGGAAAGTTGCTCCTATACGAGGGACGGAACACTTAGCCTGATTTATGGGCAGTAGCCACAAAGTAGACCAGTCCCAGAGTTCGTCCAGTGCATGCTGTATGGCCTCAAAACCCCAGGAACATTTACAACATTCCATAACTTAAGGTCATCAGCAAACAGTAGGGATGATACCCCAAGCTCTTCAGGGCGATCGTTTACGTAGATGGAGAACAGCATCGGTCCAAGGACCGAGCCCTGTGGGACACCGCTAAGGACCGCTTGCTGAAAGGATAAGCTGCGACCCACACGTACACACTGCTCTCTTCCCTGCAAGAACGCAGATACCCAGTGAAGGGCGCGGCAAGATACGCCGTAGGACCTCAGCTTTTGTGATAGCCTCAAGTGGGGTACCTTATCCAATGCTTTCGAGAAGTCGACGAAAAGCACATCCATTACGTGGCCATTGTCCACTGCCTCGGCCCAAGCTTCACGAGCAACCAACAAATTCGTCAAACACGAAAACCCTTCCGGAATCCATGTTGTGCACTACTGAGTAGACTAAATCTATTCAGGTGACATTCCAACGAATCTCTCACCAGCTTTGCAAACAGTTTGACCACAACGCTAGTCAGACTAACTGGCCTATTATTGACTGACAGACTCCTGTCGCCATATTTGAAGATAGGCCAGATGGCAGCTGTTAGGTCTGGAAAGGCCTGCTGC